CCCATATCAGTCTGCTAACGACTTTTCCTTCTTCAGCCCTCAGCTCAGGCCTGTTATGATTGGTCCCCTTCCCTGGCTGGGTGCCTCTACACCCTCCTGGGTGCACATCTGTCACAGCACCTGCCACACTGAATTGCTCATCCACCTTTCTTCCTGGCGACACTGAAAGTTTCTCAGGTACAAGATTTGTGTTTTGTCTTATTAAAGAACCCATCACAGAACCTGGGATGAGCAGATACTGAACATTTGGTGACTAAATGAATTCGTTAGATCAAGAGCAGAGAGGAATCTGGGTAACATAATGGAGTAATAACTTAGTTGACCGTATAGCACCATTTTGAAAAGATTACAGTATCAGCAAAGCGTGATCCTCAGAGATTTAGAGACCACTTTCAGTAAGCTACCCATAGTCCGCTCTCCCCCTCAGTGGATTCTGTTAAATGTAGGGCTCCAAGTTTGTTACCTGCATATCAGATATCTACATGACGATTCGTAACAGTAGCAAAATTACAGTTATGAAGTAGCAACGAAAATAATGTTATGGTTGGGGGTCACCACAACATGAGGAACTGTATTAAAGGGTCGCGGCATTAGGAAGGTTGAGAGCCACTGTCCTCGAACCAGCTTAGAGTGCAGACTGCAGGACCAGACACACCTTAACTAATATCTTCAACACGCCTATTTTGACAGTGTATAGAACTATGTGGGCACTCCACCGGGCAGTTATTCATAATGTTACAAATGTGGCCGATGAAATCCATATGCTGCTAAATAAGGCTCTACAAGATGCCTTAATGACTGCAGACTTTTAAAATAAGATAATTTTGTGCTTTATTGAGTCTCCCAAATTATTTTGATTTTCCATTTAGTGACCAGGGATGTGTAAGATATAGATACTGTGTATTTGCCTCCATCTCTACCCGCCCCCCCATTTTAAATGCAGCATGCATTTAAAAGGAAGATAAAGATTAAGATTGTTCTCAGACTTAACCATGACCTTTAATTTAAATGTTTTGAAAAGATTTACACTTAGGTGAATTCTCCTGACAGAAGGGTCAGCCACATCTCCTTTGGACGGAGTTCAAAGGGGAATTTATGTGCTGTGGCTCCCCTGGCTCCCCGAGAATCTCCCCCAGGGACAATACAGGGCACCTCAGCGCCAGGTAGCGTTTCTCCTTCCTACGTGTATCAGAGATTCCAGACAGGCTTAAGAAAACGAAAGAAGAGAGCTTATTAAAATGTCCCACGAGGGCAGGAAAAAGTAGTTAATTTTAACGATGAAACGGAACACTTACAAGCAAAGGCCAAAATAGAAAGGTAATTATTTGATCAAGTCGGAGCATATATAAAATTATGAAAAATAAAGTAATGGTGACTTCAAATCCAGTGATGACAATGTATGGTTCAGGGGCCTGTGTGAGGATGAAAAGGGTCATAGATGCCGCAGTTAGTGCCTGCAAGGAAAAAACACACAGATACGATTTGTCAGTGATTATTGAATACAGGCGTAAGCTGTTAAAAATGATCATTTCTAAAATACCCAAATAAACCAGTGTCTGCCATACACACATCTAAAAGGCACCACTGAAATGCATGGATGTGTGCATACGGCAGAAACCATTTGTCTAGCTATTCACAACATTCACGATAGCGACTCACCAAGTGCTCATCGGTGCCTGTTACCTTTGCTTTCTGGGAATGTACTACCTTCCCAAGTGGCCATGTAATTTGGGGACCTTCCCCAACATAAAATTCTTCCTCATCGTAAGCAGAACTGCTTCTCTGTAGTCACTTTGAACTATTTCCACCCCATCTTCTATAGGTCTCTGCTTTAAAATTAATTTTTTTCCCCTTCCCCCTTTTTCTTGAACTCCTTCAGCACAGTCTCCTATGGCAGTTTCCACTTCTCTAACTGGCCGGCTCGCCTTCCTCCCCATGAGGATTCATTCTCTCCGAGCGTCTGTTCAGATCTGACCGCCGTGCTCCCGGAGGCCCCACACTCCAGGCTCCGGGCTGAATGAGCCCTGAGCTCGGTCACATCAAACTTCCCACCGACAGGAGAGAAGCACCGCCTCCCCCATTACCTTGCTGGCTTCTGAGTTGGCACAAGCGCAGCTGCCTCGCCTGGTAGCCTGGGGACCCGGCCTGGGGTCCGAGCGCAGGCCATCCAGGTAAGCAGGCTGCCTTTGCTTCACGAGTGCGCAAAGACGGCGCCTTATCGCCCTCCTTCCCGCTGGGGTGCCTCGCCTCTAGGGCGGCCTTGATAGAAACAAGGTTGGAAGAGAAGACCAACGGGGCATTCTCCTGCCTACGTGACGCCCATCACTGCCCCTGAGCACCGTGCATTCCGCCCTCCGCCCGCAGCCGCGCTCACCAGCCGCAGCTTCTTCACAAAGCCTTTCACGCTGCAGCAGAAA